GGGCACATTTCAGCTCCATTGAATGTTACCCTCAACTAAAAAAGAAAAAAGAAAAAAGAAAAAAAAAAAAGGATGGGAGATGTTGACCGTCGTTGGATCATCCGGACACAGATGGACGTCAACAAAAGTCGCTGATCACATGGACCAATCACAGGCGGGGAGACTTCAATACTTCGTTCTTTATTATTAACTCCTTAGTACTAATTCAATGTGGCTTTGATGCTCGCCGCAAGAGCCCCAAGTCCCACCTGACTTTTACCCCAGAGTCGATCTCGAGCTAATACGGGAAGCACAACTGCATTGGACCTTATGCATGGGCTCTTCAATCGGTATGCACTCGGCCATATCGGCCTACGGTTCACTCCGCATTTTTATGTTCCATGCATCTAGCACTCTCTCACAGATATACCCAACCACCGACGAAACTACAAAGCATCGGTTTCGCTATACTAACCAACAGACCTGCCCCCATAATATCCTCACCCCCGGGAACCCCCCCCAACAACAACTAAGAACTACTAACTACTAACCAACCACAAAGCCCAAACCACCAGACCGAACTAAACAAGGCCACCCGCAAGAACAAAAACGAAACCCCGCCAGAATGCCTTCACTAACAAACTCACCAACGCTCCTGACGTCATCGCACATCCGGACGCCCCAAAACAATGAACCAGATGGAACCAGTGATCATCGTGCTTAGGCATGAACGCCGCTCGCTTCGAGAAGAAATCCCCACCAGCTTCGATCATGCGACCAGCGATCCCCATATGCCGATGCACACGAACGAGAAGCGCACGCCGAGTTGTTGGTTCTTGAGGCTCGGCATACAGGAAGGATGAACGACAAAATAAAGAAAAAAAGCCAAACGAAGCCGAATCGCTTATTCAAGGAGAGCTGAAACGGAACGGGTCGTGTGGCGCACGGATCGCCCGCGCACCAGAACAGGTGATTTTGAATGGATCTGTTGACCCTTCGGAGATATTAGATGGCGGCTGTGGTGATATTATGGTGATATTATGCTGGTGGTTGTGCGGGATTGGATCTTACGTGGCTGCTATTTAGTTAGGGATCTTGAGACATTTGGTCACGGGGGCTATGAGGTATGATGCAGGAATGCGCTCTTTTCTGCGAGTCCGTGGGATGATGGTAAGATGGGCTGTAAGGAGGAGGAAGCGTGCGCATGGGGAGTAGGGGCTTCTTGATACACGTGGTTGCGCACGATTCTCGAGGCCATTGAGTTCTCATTCTCACGCGAGGTGATGCGTTGAATATCTGTTATACAGTCTTTATGCCCTTGCCAATATGGTGACCAAACAGATGGTGAACCAAGAAATCGTCCAGATTATGGGCAACACTAATGCCACGAGCAGTAAGTACACTGGGAATCGCCAGTGTAGCCAGGGGAGCGCAGGCATCCGCTGAGCTACAAACAGCTTTACTAATGGCCATTACAAGACAAACACTTGGCAGATAAAATGGAATATTCAATACCCAAACCCACGCTGTAGTCTATAATGTTCAAACACGCTCAACCCCTAAATCGACCCACCATAACCCATCCCGAGTCAACTGAAGCGATGAGCGGAAAGGGAAGAAGAAATGAAATGTTGACTCGTTTACCATGATCTCGTCCATCTCATCAGGTACCATACCCTCCATTCCCCCATAACAGACAAACAAGAAATAGAATATTATGCATGGGAATCAAAGCTTGATGATGGGAATGTAAAATGAACCGACACGAAATCTCCCGCATCATCTTCCGGGTCTTCGAGAAAACGCCATTGCAGAGTAAATCATCAAGCGAACAAAAGAATTAAGAACCAAGCAATACCAGGGCTGAGCTCCCGCATGGTATCATAAGCGATTTCAGTAATGCCCTAGCACAGCAACTTAATCAACCACAGAAAAAGGCCCCCTTCTTTACTGAGACGCGCACTGCACTCTCTCAGCGCCAGGAGGAACGTCGTCGTCATCCTCGTCCATAGAACCAGCACCGTGGGCGCGTGCCTGGGAGTACTCGCTAGAGTCGACATCCTCCAGCTCGAAGTCCTCCACCATGGAATCGGCAGGTGCCTGAGGCTGCTCCATGCGAGGGGGCAGAACCTGTTCCAGAAGGTTGAGGTTGCTGAGCTGATCCTTCTCGGGGAACTTGACGTCAAACTGAATGTAGAGGTTGCCAAAGTCATGGTGGCGGAATGACGGCATACCCTGACCCTTGATCACCTTGATAGCGCCTAGAAAGTCAGTGTGTTAGTGCTCGTTCCTCAACTAGCGTAAATGAGTGGGAGAAGTAACATACCAGGAGTGATAACCTCGCCAGGTGCGATGTTCACAGTCAACCAGCGGTCATCGAGGTGCTCAATGTTGATGTTACCGCCAGCAAGAGCTGTGAGAAGATCGATCTCAGCGTGATAGAAAAGGTCGTCTTCCTTACGCTGGAAGCGGGGGTGAGGCTTCTGTTCAATCTCGAAGACCACATCTCCGGGCATGACGCCAGGCATCTGGTCACCCTCCCCACGGAATTCGATCTTGTGGCCGTTCTTGACACCCTTGTCGACATGAACGTGGAGGACCTTGCGCTCGACAACGGTCTTCTTACCATTGCAGCGCTTGCAGCGGTCGCGCTCCCGAATGGTCTCACCCTCACCATTGCAGTCTGGGCAAACGGTCTGGAACCGCTGGATCATAGGTCCCATCTGGCGCATCATAGTCTTCATACCGGAACCATTGCAGCCGCCACAGGACTTGACGGCACCTTCCTTACCACCACGACCATCACAGCCAGGGCAAATGACAGACTTCTGCAGAGCCAATTTCGAAACCTTTCCGCGGTAGATATCCTCCAAGTTGACCTTGTGAACGTGGTGGATGGTGCGGGCCTTCTTGGGGCCCTGCTCCCGCATACCACCACCGAACATACCTCCAAAGCCGCCGCCACCGCCGAAGAACTGGGCAAAGAGATCCTCTGCACCCATTCCACCGGCGCCACCACCATTTTCAAGACCTTCCTCACCGAGCTGGTCGTAGAGAGAACGCTTCTGGGAATCGGAGAGAATTTCGTAGGCACGGGAAAGCTCCTTGAACTTTTCAGCGGCATCGGGGTTGTTTGCGTTCTTGTCTACGGGAAACTGTCAGCAAGTCTAGTCTTAACACATCCGCCCCAACTGGTGATTGGAGCTGGACTATAGGCGACGTACCAGGGTGATATTTGAGAGCGCCCTTCTTATAGGCGGTCTTCAGTTGAGCCTCTGTGGCTGTTGGGGCAACCTGATAGCCTCACCGTTAGTTTCGAACACGGGGGATTCAGCGGCCGCCCATAAGTATACTCACCCCGAGAACGTCGTAAAACTTGGTTTCCTTGACCATTGTGAGAGTGTGTCTAGTCGTATACTAAGAAAGGGGTGGCTTGTAGAACAATTACAAGAACCAACGAATCAAGGCGGAGAAGAAAAACTATAGAAACAAGAACTTTTCTAGTGAAATCGTCACGGAAAGAGGGATTCGTTCAAAGAGAGGAGAAGTTCGCCGGTCGGTTTAGCCGGAACGAAGGGTCTATATGGTGGGAGGGGGCCTCGGGAGGGTGGTTGAGAGGCGGGTTTGTTGATGAGAAGAAAAAGGATCTGACGGCCACTTCGAGGTTATCAAGACAGGAGCGGCGACTGACGGGCGTACGATGGTAATTTCAATACCAGGACCAGGCACCAAAGGCGTCTTCACGGGGCGAATTTTTGCTGATTAAGATGCCAAGCCTTGTGCAATCTCTGTAATATGGTACCGGAGATACGATAAGGCGAAAATCCGAGGGCACTGGCGATCTTTCACCAGAGTATGTATCTATGGCCGTTCCCTTGGGGTATCAAATAAAAAGGTCAAGGGGAAGTTCTAGGGGCAAGCTGGTGAAAAATCAGTCGAAATAAAACTACAATGGAACTGTAAAAAGAGGTTCTACCATGCTTTTCAAGCACAAAACGATACGGGCCTCATGTTCATGACTTGCAGCCCGATTGGCTTTGCTTTCCCCTTCTGGCTGCTTCGACCACCCTGTCACAGGCTGAATCCACGGCTCGAGCGCTGACTCTCTCTTTCCATCTGATTCTGTCGGCTTCCACCATCTTCGCTGTCTTTCCACCGAATCGGTAATTCCTTTGTTTTGATACGACTGTTACACTGCGTCCAATGAACTTTTACCCTGTATCAGCTTTCAGATACCGGCTCCTTACGGCGGAAGATTCACAATGTCAACAGTACCTTTCCATCTGCTTCCATAGAGCGCTTATGTATTACGAAAAACGTATTATTATTAGTGTCTGAGAAACCATTCATGAATGGCATAACATGGAAAATTCCAATTATGGGTGATCAAGGAAGGCCTTAAACTCTATGAAGCAAATATCTCGCAGGAGGCGATTTGTGGTTCTGAATCTTGCAGATTAAGTATAGAATACATACTGTGTGGATGAAGATCTGGCTCCCTGGATTTTGGATTTTGGATTTTGGAACACTTATTTTTTGAACTTTTTTTTATGTGGCACAGCGACTTTGCCCCAGGCCGACAATGTGGCGGCGGGACGACTAGTCAAGTTTTTCCTTATCGATAAGCACCAGTATCCAGAAGTGGAAAGAGGGGTGTTCGTGAGTGAGGGGAATGAAGATATCCATAAATAAATATAATGATAGTTATAGTTAATGACAGCAGAAAAATACTGAGATATTCTACGGGTCACGACATTCTTAATTGATAACTATTGTATTCTATAGTGTGTTATAGCCATTGTATGCATTCTAAGATTTATGCTGAAACGCCCCGCATCGTCAAATATATAATCAGCAAATGAATAACTGCACCACTAGACAATTGAAAACCAACGCGACTTAAACCTCGGATTGGAAATATAACTTGACAAGTTCATTGTATCCTGAGCTTGTTTCCAGGAGGTAGAATCATCAGCCATCGCAGACATTACATACAATGGCAAATTTCACTCTCATGGACTCAATCACTACAGAGAACGTATTCTTCATGAGGGGGAAATCATCCGAATGCTTATCACCTTTATCAAGATCCCTCCGCCAACAACAAACCGTGGCCAACCGTTGCTGCGGGTCAAGCTAGAACCAGAACGGCAGTTGACCACCAGATCGAATTTTGCCCGACAGTTGAGTTAGAACCCATAACAGCTTATCTCTACGTCCTACTTGTTTTCTAGCTCTCCAATTCGAGTCTGTATTTCCCTCTACATCCCATAACCCATATCAAATCACACCCAATACAATGGAGTCAGACCCTGGATTTATTGCTGCCCTCGAGGAGGCAAAGCAAGGTTACGCTGAAGGTGGAGTTCCTATCGGCGCGGCATTGGTCTCCAAAGATGGCAAAATCCTTGGCCGTGGACACAATATGCGCGTTCAGAAGGGGAGTGCGACATTACATGTTAGTTAACCACACACCAGTTCAATAACCCCTAGGTGATTGGAAGGATGCCCGTGGCTTACTTGAATATAACAGGCCGAGATGTCTGCTCTGGAGAACTCGGGCCGCCTTCCTGCTTCGGCCTATGAAGGTGCTACCATGTATACAACCTTGTCTCCCTGTGATATGTGCACGGGTGCCTGCATTCTCTATAAAGTGAAGCGCGTGGTCATTGGCGAGAACAAGAGTTTTATGGGTGGGGAGGAATATCTTAAAAACCGTGGCAAGGAATTAGTTGTCTTGGACAATGAAGAGTGCAAGCAGCTGATGGAGAAATTCATGAAGGAGAAGCCGGAGCTCTGGTAAGTTCTTTACTTTTAAATATTGCTTTTGGATCATGACAAGTCGTCGATAACGTATATTGTTTTACCGCCCATCCCCCCATCTCAAAATGATAGTAACTAACTATGGTCGACATATAAAATGTAGGAATGAGGATATTGCCGTATAAGCCGTGAATATATCATAGGCCAATCAGCCATTCGCCGATGAGCTGCAGGGTATGAGGAATCGCAGTGTACATAGTCAGAGCCTCAACCCTTCAAAAATCATCGCCATGATCATGTCATATGCTTTGTTTAAGCCGTTAGTCTGTGGATCTCCTCAAAAAAGAATTTAAGATCCTCAGGCTTCACAAATGGAGTAATGCCTGCACAAATTAGCATGTTTTATCAACCTAAATGTCATGGGACGTCATTACCATGGCCCAAGTTGGCAATCCATCCTTGCTTGCCCTTCTCGAACCCTTTAACCATGTTCTCGACAACTTCCGTGATGGCAGCACGACCACCGTAGAGCATACCGGGATCAGCATTACCCTGGATGGTGACCCGACCATTCGCAATTCGCCTAGCTTCCGCTGGGTCATGTAGCCAGTCAAGCCCCACAACGTTATAGCCGGATTCACAAAGATCATCAAGTGCATACCATGCGCCCTTGGCGAAAACAGTCATGGGCACTGGCTCCAGTCCCATTTCCCTCAGCCGCTTGGGCAGATTTGCAGAGATATGGCGCAGATATGGGAGCGAGAACGACTTGAACGAGGCCGGAGAAAGTTCACCGGCCCATGAGTCAAAGACCTGGACCAACTGGGCGCCTGCGGCAACCTGGAGAGCAAGGTATTCCACACAGATCTCTGCGATCTTTTGCAACAACGCCTGGGATTCCTTTGGGTACTTGTAGACCCATGTCTTCGACTGAACAAACATCTTGCTTCCGCCACCTTCAACCATGTAGCACAGGAGGGTCCAAGGAGCACCACAAAAACCAATGAGCGGGACACGGCCTTGCAACTTATGCCGGGTGAGTCGGATGGCCTTGTAAACATAGTCAAGCTCCGCCTTAACATCGACCTGCTTCTGCATCACTTTTTCGTACTGTCCGTCGTCCGGCGACTTCAGCGGTTCAGGGAAGTGGGGTCCCTTCTTGTCAACCATCTCAACCTGCATTCCCATAGCCTGGGGAATGACTAGAATATCGGAGAAGATGATTGCGGCATCGATAAGCCCTGCATACCGTTCCACCGGCTGGATAGTCAACGTCGAGGCGATTTCCGGGCTGCGGCAGCATTCGAAAAAGTCGCGACCTCCTTTAGCTTCGTGGTATTCGGGGAGATAGCGTCCAGCTATAAGCAGAGAAAACACAAAAGTTAGCAATGACTGGCCCTTTCAGCCTGCACAAAACTACACTGGGAAAGATAGATAGCAAAAGCGTAGCAGATATACCTTGACGCATAACCCATATCGGAGGACGCTCGACCTTCTCGCCTACAATTACATCAGCGGCGGCAATTTCTGCTGTTGTAGTCTATGATGGAAATACCTCTTGCGGCCCTCAGCAAAAGGTCATTCTTCAATGGAGCGAACTGTTCCTGCATCTTGACGGAGAATAGGATGGATTGTGTGAAGAGGGGACCTTGGGAAGAGGGGTGGCTGCATGCAATTCTAGCACCAAGGTCCCAACCGCCGCTCGGCACCTCGGCCCGCCGCAGTACATGCATCCCAACCCAATTCGGAAACCTTCCACTTGCCAGGCTACATACCAGAGTAGGTAGTAATTAGTACTGGTAGTATGTACGCAATCCCTTAATTGTACCATACAAAGGTGTACGAACCGAAACAAAGTTTGCAGCATGTCTACTTCAATAGACTATTTAAATAATAAGTAGTTTAAATGTACAGCGGCCGATTATGCCTCAGTTCTAATCCTCTCCGTGCGTCTTGCGCAGATTGCTCAAACTATAGAACAACTCGTTGAGTTCCTTTCTTTGCTTCGTGTCGGCATCTGCTGGAATGTCAGAGGAGCCACCCAGGTTGATATTGGTAACTAGCGATTCTGTGACCGGCTCCCACTCCAAGTTTTCTGCTCCCAGCTTCACGCGGAACGATTCAATTAGATTCAAGGAGCCTGTTGGGCTGGCTCTCCATTCGTGAGTCGAGCCCTTCTCACGGATAGAGTCCACAGACACAACAATTGTGCTCTCCTTCTCCATGATGGCTATATCTAATACGTTGCCAGACATCTCGATTGGGTCCTGTGTTTTTAATGTGCCATTCGACTCAAGCACGAAGCATTGCAGCTGTGAGGACCTATTGAAGACATTAGACAAGCGGGATATTGACTTAGACTCTCATTTGCACTTACCCATCAAGCGCAACAAGAACAATATTCGATCCGCCGATTGATGTCGCCCAAATTCCACGAACTGTAACCTGTGTAGTCTCTGATGCCTGCTCCACTAGGGGGATCTTCTGGAGCATACGCCTTCGGCCCACTTCCAGACTAGCAAAAAGTCGTCTCCTCCGCCAGAGATGAGATATTCCGGAGCAGATTTGGGAATGCAGAGCTTGGTGATGAATGCAGTATGGCCCAGACAATAACCTTCAATAATATGAGCCTGAGGATAGCGAGAGACTCGGATATGCTCATCGCGGTCTCCGGTTAGGATGTAACTGCGCTTTTGACCGGAATTATCATCCTGAGGCACCGTGGCAAACGCAACACCCGTGAGCAATGACACATGACCAAGTAGCAATTGATGCTGGAAATTCAGGCTGGTCTTTTCTTCGGTAGGGTTTTTCTGACCATAGCGCAGCTGCTGTTCCAAAGATTCAAGATTTCGCTTACTATGCACAGTAAGGGGTGTTGCTGCGGGTACCTTTGGCCGATTAGGGAGCTTTGGCGCCACATATGGCTCGTTGCTGGGAAGAAGTGGCAGCGAGTAAACATCGCCGAATTTATCACCACAGAGGATTGTGTTACCGTCATCAGTGAGAACGATACTACATGGCCTCTTCGGCATACATCTGCGGATAGGGTGAGCACACACATTTCGTTTAGTTGGCAGGATCGACTAACCTTTCGCTTAATTGTTCAAATGTGCCGTCATATTTCAGGCGGAGGACACGAATGCACTTATCTTCCGCAGTGAGCGCAACCACATAATCTCCACTCGAATGCGCAACTAAAATAGGAATGCTGGACCAAGCTGGAGTCTTGACGGGCGATTTGGAAGTTTCGGCAGGTCCATCCTCGGACTGAGAAACCTTTCTCTTCTTCTCTGGTGGTGCCTGGTCTTCTGATCCAGTCTCTGTCTCGGTTGGCTTGCAGTTATTTGCATTGCTTGCATTTACATCTTGCGGCCAAGAAGAGAGACGCTGCCCGGTCTCTGCAGTGTAGGAGTAAATCTTGCCCCCAGATGACGCAATAAGCAGCTTCTGGGGTTCTGCACACTGTCTCTCCAGATATTGGATGCATTGGAATGGAAGTTGGAAGTTGCCAGCCATGTTGTATATAATTGGTCGTATATTGCTTGAAAAGCGAAGGCTGACTCGGCAACGAATATTGTGGTGTCAGAAAATACAGTAGCGAAAGTGAATTGTAGTGCTGCAGCCAGTAAAGTACATAAACTACCTTGCGTAAACAGTAATTATTTAGAGGACTAAATGGATATCATAGACCTCCAGAAGTATACCACCAAATGCACGCGCGCATGCCCTATCTGATTGATCTGCGGATATTTTTTTCTGCCGGGCGGGGAAACACGTGACCGGCTCGCTAGCCGAAGCCACAGAGAAACAAAATTCCCCAATTTCGAAGTTCCTTTGATTCTTTTGATCTTCAACGTCACGATTCAAATCGGACAGCAACACACTTTAGAATTATCCCTTGCCCTTAAACATCCTATCTTCACCGAAATAAGGAGACATGGGGGGCAAGTCCGCTACCAAGGCCGCTTACTTCGAGAAGCTGAAGAACCTTCTTGATGAGTACAAGACGGTCTTCATTGTCGGTGTCGACAATGTCAGCTCTCAGCAGATGCACGAGATTCGTCTGAGTCTCCGTGGTGAGGGTGTTGTCCTGATGGGTAAGAACACCATGGTATGTATCTCCATATTCCCACGCAATTGACACCGCAATTGACCGCATTATTTCAGGTTCGCCGTGCCCTCAAGGGCTTCATCACCGACAACCCTGAGTACGAGCGTCTCCTTCCTCACGTCAAGGGTTAGTACAGCTCATTCAATAAAGCGACATTGAAAATATACCTGGACTAATCGCTGACGCGTCACAGGCAACGTTGGTTTCATCTTCACCAACGGCGACCTTAAGGCTGCCAAGGAGAAGATCCTTGCCAACCGTGTCGCTGCCCCTGCTCGTGCTGGTGCCGTCGCTCCTGCCGATGTCTTCGTTCCTGCTGGTAACACCGGTATGGAACCCGGTAAGACCTCGTTCTTCCAGGCTCTCGGTGTCCCCACCAAGATCGCTCGTGGTACTATCGAAATTACCACCGATCTTAAGCTCGTTGAGGCCGGCGGCAAGGTCGGTCCCTCCGAGGCTACCCTGCTGAACATGCTCAACATCTCTCCCTTCACCTACGGTATGACCATCGCCCAGGTCTACCAGGATGGTCAGACCTTCAGTGCCGATGTTCTCGACATTGAGGAGGAGCAGCTTCTTAAGGCTTTCAGCAGCGCCATCCAGACCATCACTGCCCTCTCTCTGGCTACTGGCTTCCCCACCCTTCCTGCTGTTATCCACTCCCTCATCAACAGCTACAAGAAGGTTCTCGCCGTTGCTGTCTCTACCGAGATCAGCTGGCCCGAGATCGAGCAGCTCAAGGACCGTATCGCTAACCCCGATGCGTACGCCGCTGCTGCTCCTGCCGCTGGTGCTGCTGCCGCCGCTGGCGGTGCCGCTCCTGCTGAGGAGAAGAAGGAGGAAGAGGAGGAGGAGTCCGATGATGACATGGGCTTCGGTCTTTTCGACTAAACTTCTCGTCTCGTTGCGCGGGATACGACCACCATGCTTTAGATACATTTACGACCAACCTTGACGGTTGGAAAAAATGAAACGAATCTCATGGTCAATTTCTTTTTATCATTCAACTAGATGTGGACGTAGACATACGGCCCACTATCTTGAATTACCTAAGGTGAGCATCTACTTTCTTTAACTCTTCACTTTCTTTACCTGGAACATCACTCCTTGGCGGATGATGATATTTTTTAACTCGTAGTCACTGTTGTGGCGTTGAAGATCAAAAACTAGCAACAACAAACACTCTAATTTTTTGCTGACCCGCCTCCCATCTATCTTTTTCATCTTACACAAACCTTTCAGCAATATAGATTGCTAACTGTGATTGCAGATCATTCAGATACATGTGGTGTCGTAGTATGTGTCGAGTTGGATTCGTAGTACCACCCACAGTGTTTCTGCACGAGGGCCCGGTTTGGGGCTGGATTTTTTACTGTCTCAGATGAAATATACTGCTAGGTAAGAATCATGCAGGGATTATGGATCCTAATCCAGACACTTATATAGCATCATATGTTGAAAATGAAACCATGATCCAAGTATTCGGTATCATACATTGCACCTCACTATCCGTTGTAGCCACGCATATAAAAACAGAATATATACCTGTTGTAGTGAAAAAATGTAAAGTGGTATACTTGAGAAGCAAGAGACGCGCGAAACTATCTGACATGAAGAAGTGAATAAGCCTAATTAATTTAGCTTTGCTTCAGTTACCATCATCACCACTCCTCCCAAACCGACCCCCGAATCCACCCAGGTCCCGACGGAAGAACTTTCCAATATTTTTCAGATTCTCGTTCAGGTTGCCTGCAGTAGCGCTCTCGGCGGTGCTTTGTAGTTGTGCGAATGGTCCAGGGGACACAGGGTGGTGGATGTTGATCCTGGGGTACCGCCTGCGCCGGGATTTCCAGGAGTTCCGAATCGGTCGACACCGTCTTTGGCAGCTGAGATGATGGCAGAGCCTAGCATGGATGGATCGAAGCGGGTGGGGAGGTTAGAGGCGCCGATTGACGCTGCGGCGGTTCCGAGTCCCAGCCCTTGGTTTGAAGAGGAAGCGGGAGTGGTTTGAAACGCTGTGAGGGTGGGATTGCTTTGCTGAAGGTTCGGGGCGTGACGGTCTGATGCACGGTGGATCTGGAAGAGTTCCACGAGCTGGTTCTGCTCTTGTCGACTGCGGATTCCTTTGAGTTCGAGGATCTTGCGGAAGTTCGTGTTGCTGCTGTCCTTGATGTGGATCAAGTATGCTTGTACTAGAGCCTCTGGAGGCGATGGTTGGACTTGGAGGGTCTTGAGGAGAGTCTCGATTTTCATGAAGCTGTTATTGACACGCTTAACGAAGGTTGCTGGAGCGGGGGCTGGTAGAAGAGACGAGAGGCCGGTTTTGAGGGTGTATGCGTCCAGGAGCATCTATTCAGAGTTACATGTCAATACCTTGTCCTGTGTTTTGGGATGCAAATCGAAGAGGGATGACTTACTTGCTCCGCCCCGGTCTCCGAGACTGGCTTGCACTGAAAGATATTCGAAACGAATACGTTTGATATCAGCTCGACGACATGATCCGCGAAAGCTCGGGCGTACTGTTGTTTATGCAGCAATTGCAGGATCTCGGAGGACTTGGCGTTAAGCTTGGTCATGATCTCACTGACGTACGTGCTCTGATCGCTAACACTCTCAAGCCGATTCCAGGGTGTATTGCGCATTTCTCGCCAGGAGGGCTCTAACTCGACCTCGACCATCCGCACAAGGCACCGAACAGCACCAGACGCAATGCCCATGAATGAATCTGCCTGGCTCTGCAGGTCAACCGATTGTTTCAAATTTTTGTCGAGCCTGCCTTTGATCTTTTCCTCTAGTTGATTGCAGGTGGTGTAGCAGTAATCTGCAGTGTTGAGAACTGAAATGAGGTCCTCCAGAGATGGCACCTTGGATGGAGTTGTGCCGGTGGGCCTCTCACTGATATAGTATAAGAGGACTTGCTGGGCATATTGATCGAGATACTTTGCGAAGACTTTGGCCAAGTCGGCAAGACTCCCACCCGTCGAGAGTTTCGCACATTGTTGTAGACAGAGCCTGTAGAACGTGAAGAGCTCCGTGGATGACGCTATGACGATATTAGAATCGAACTCCTCATCTGGCGGCCTGATAGGTTGCTGTCGATATTTTGGTATAAGGGTAGCCAACTGCTTATCTTGAGCTTCAACCCATACGCTTAGATAGGGTTCGAAGGCCTCTGAAATGGCCTGGCCAAAGACAGGTGCTTCTGCCGAGGTGAACGTGTCGGTGGACGGGCGGGATGGATTGACAAACCGCCGCTCCAAAGTATGTTCAAAATCCAGAGTCTCCTGCAAGCAAGAAAGTAATAGGTTGACGTCGATCGTCTGCCCATTTCGCACTGACCGGGAAAGAATGCCCTTGAAATCCTCTCGAGTTCCTTCACAAAATATGTTCGCCAAAATCTCATCAACCCTCCAAGACGTCGGCCATATCGCTGCGTATTCCTCATCGTAGATCTTCAATATACGACGGAACCATGAATACCTCCGCGAAATGTTGTCCAAGGACCCCGCCTCCTCGTTGTTCCTGAACACCTGTCGATACTCCCGTAGCTGGAAATTGCAATACCAGGTCACCAGCCTGGACTTCGCATGATCCCCCAAAGCGTCCATTACGAGACAGCCCTCCGAAAGCACGACCCTCTTTTGTCCCACTTCACCCTTTGCAAACGCCAGCTCAAAGTCTTCACAGACCTGCTCCAGCAACTCTCGTTGTATATCTGCCACATTTCTACTAAGAAGAGCGATCTGATCAATGGATCGGTACGACTTGAAGTGCGCCATCAGCTGGATAACCGCCTGCAGTAATTGGGCACAGTCCCGGTACTGCCTTGTTTTACCGAGGGCACGGAGCTGATCGTATGCCGTCGTCAGCATCTGCAGCCTCTTCAGGGCTGTCATGGATTGCGTGAGGTTCTTCTTTGCATTATCCAGCTGCTTGATATCCGCCGTCATCTCGGTGATGGCTAGCTCCGTCTTGGACGCGCGGTCGCGCACATCGTCAATCTTCTTGAATAACTCCGTCAAATCTGCTTGGGCAGCCTGTATGCGCTCGACGCTTTCCGCATTTGATGTGACTTGTTCCTCCACCAACGCGCCGATCTCGTCGTCCAGCTCATCTTCGTAGTCTAGGAGGGACTGGGAAACGTGGGAGACGGAGGACAGCGTGGAGGGGTGGGAGAAGATGGCATTTAGGTGGTCAATTGGATCATAGTCCGCTATTGCATAATTAAACAAATGCTCGTATTAGCGGAAATCAATCGGCACGGGTTCGTCTGAGAAGTTCACCTCACCTGCGTCGAGGGGATCGAGATCCGCCGCTCCGTTGGAGGGCATGGAATTGGAGGAGGTGGTGGTAGACATTCCATTAGTTCTCCAGTTTACACCCCGGGTACATGCTGTGTTTGGGATTTCCCGACCATCCACCAGTTAACTTAGGGTACGAGGGAGAGATTAGAGGATTAAACTAAAAATTACAGCAAAAGAGGGCTGAGGACAAAAGTGGTCTTGCGGGAAGTTGGCGATCAAGTCCGGGAGGTTGTAACCGCCGAAAGTCAACTTTAGCGCAAACGCGGCTAATTTATTTATGGTAGTAGGTATAAATAGTCAATACTAGTAGGTATAAGAAGCTTGATCTTGAGAGATTAGCTCCGCCGCCCTCCATGTCATATATCAATCTTGTACTCTCCTTTTACCTCTAATTTTATTTATTCTATTTTTTTCCTTCTACAGGAATTGTTGTGTGCTGTTGTTCTGGCCCGTTAGAAGCAGACCCAGCAAGTGATATTGGTCTCACGGGGGTTATCATATGGATCCCCCTCCCCTTTCTATCTATATGGACATGATCTTCGTCGTGTTTCGAGGTTCAATAAATGTGATATGGTGAAATCTTTCAAACAAGTCAGAGAACCCACAACCGTTCGCCTAAGCCATGCAAACACAATAAATGCAGTAGAATAATAAATAGTTGAATAAGACTCCAAGCAAACACCACAGCCTCCTCCACTCAAAAATTTTGGGTATGTGAAAAATCAGATATGAACTAGACAGCTCCGGGCAGGAAAGCGTCTGGAGGTAGCTGTCCCTGAGCCTTTACACGGAATTAGTAAACCTCTACAGAAAATGATCAAGCGCCGGAAGGGCTTACCTTGAGCTCCTCAAAATTCTTCAAAGCAGCGTCCAAGTTCCAACCGTTGCCGGAAAGCGCCATTTCAGAGTATGGCAGGGTCATGCCCGTTTTAGCGATTATTTGCATGACCAATTGTTCTTGTTGCACCTGGGCATCTGGTTTGCCTGGTGCCGGCATACCGTAACCATCGGGAGTAGCCGGAGGAACAACCGGTGCTTGGACAGGAGGCTGTCCGGGTTGGGTGGGTTGGACAATTGGCTGCTCCAACATCCATGCTTCATGGCCCCCGTGAGCCCGTAGACAAAGAATATCATTGATCACCCTAATACCACCCATGCCTCCACCAGGTCCAAGGATAAATGTCCGGTCGAAGCTCCGAAGGTCAACCTTGGGTCCATTGATCTCTTCAAATTTTCCATGCACCATGATAAGAAGTCCACCCACACCAGTCGCGCTCTGTCCCGAAGGATCAGGGAGCCCAGGGATGGGGAAACATTCAATTAGCCATTCTTCAGGGTGAGCTCCAATGTCGGGATGTCGTGTTTGAGGAAGGGTGTTCCACATGTCACGGATTTTGTCCACACCGACAAAAGAACGAGACATCCTCGCAGGAAGATGATTGATCTTGAGCAGATTTCTACTCTTCTTGATGTAAGGATCCCAAGCCGCAGTTTCGGTTTGCTGGGCTCTTGGAGCAGTGGTATTGACATTCAGCGAGAACGTGGAATTGTTGTCGTATACACCGTTCAGAAGGTCAGTACGGTTGCTGTCATAACCAACAAAGAAGGCCTTAACAAAGTTTTCTCCAATTTGAGATTCGTCCTGGAAATGCGGCGCCTGAACAGGAATCGGCGTCTTCTTCTGCGCAGCCACTTCCTCCGCCGTCCGAACTTCTGTATTATTCAAAAATCGAAGTTTTGGATACCACTTGAGCATGGTATCCTTGAAAGTAGGATCCGCGCTGAAAGGGGTACCAGAGAGGTCAAGAAACTCCAGATTTCGGAACTTCCACCTCCATCCAATTAAGGACTGAGAGTCTTTGAAGTTATTATTTGATAAATCAAGATTCTTCAAATCGGGGAACGACTGAGCCAATGTCGTGACGACCGTAATATTGGCGAGCTGATTGTCGGCAAGACTGACACTCTCCACAGCCTCGCGTCGTGCTGTGGAGCTATCAAAATTCATCTCCCATACTTTCATCAACGCTGGGAAGAACTTGGATTCGGTCGATGTGCTATCGAAGATTCCCATTGCCAACAGGTCCGGGTCGCTGCCAAGCTTAGAGAGGTTGAGCAATTTCTGCTGTTGAAAATAGCGTTTGCTCAAGATCGCAGTCATCTTGGATTTGGTATCGGCGGTCGAGGGGGCGCCACTGTTCCGCGACACTTCTGATAACATCGTTTGGCCCATTCCATTGGCAGACGCATCATATGTCTGAATCGTAAGGGGTGCTCCTGCAAAACTGAAACCATTCATTTTCAGCATCCTGTCCAACAACTCCGGCCGGATAGATACTATAAAGATATCGCCTTCAACCCGCGACTAGTGAACGTTAGTAAGGCGTAAGAGACCTTTTTACCGCCGTCATCCAGAGGAACAAACGCCAAAAACAGCCTGCGATCGTCGTTCTGGGGTACCACTCCTGTAAACGAGAACACACCGGAGAGGACGACGTTGCGAAATCATGTCGGTGACCGTCAGATCTGATGTTGAACATACCTTTGTGATCCTTGCGCGGGAGCCAGCTTTCGAGTCGGATGAGTTGAGTTTCTTTTCGAGAAAGGTGATTAGACTTTCAATACCACCGTCGCGGTTGGACGCTGCCTTGCTCTGTTTCCATCCTCGGACGCTGACTTGTTCCAGATTGCTGCCTCGGCCACCTTGTCGGATGTTCGCCTGAGAGCTTGTGTTGCTCGAAATAGCCTTTTGGATAGCGTCGAGTGCCCTATCGCGGGTGTGGGTTCGTGGTCCAGTAGCGGCCGTGCGGCTAGAATCGCCGCGCGCCTTCTTTACACGGCCTTGAGTAGAGCCTGCGTCCATAGCCAAATCACCATCTCGATCGACTCTTTTTGCTGCACCTTTCTTGCGAATACCCCCGCGATCCGAACCGCCTGAGCGGCCTCGGGAGCCTTTTCCTCCTTTCATGTTGATCGCAGTGGTAATTATATTCGGAAAGTGCGGAGAACGGTAGGTATTGAGGGTAGAGTAGTGGTTGGTATAGTTTTCTTTTTTATTTTTTTTTCTCAGGCGGACCTAGCGCTGCGCGCCTGATATTCAAGTCGATCTAGTCGGCATGCAATAGAGAAGATAGTTAGATATAGGAAGAGAGGTAAAGTAGATATTGTAGATGGTGGTGTTCAATATAATGGAAGAAGTAGGATTAAGCCAAACCTCGCGGGTGAGGTCTTTTGAGGGACAGTATGAGGCAGAAGAAAGTCTAGCGGAAAAAGTGACGTGAATCAAAAGAGTCATATCACGTGAGACTAGAAGAGGTGGATGCCTGCATATCCACGTGATAGCCTACCAGGCACCCATGCAGTGGAGCCACCAAGGTGACCAATCAGAGACTGCAGTCTGGCCTTTGGCACACAATCGGTAATACATGATACCGATGCCGCCAACTGGGTGGAGTAAATTACGCTACCCGTGACGATTGCTGTTTCATTAAGTGTTTAGTTTCGTATTATATGCATGCAATCTATCATCAGGACAGCTTTGCCAAAAGTCAGGAACCGCAAGGGTAAGTCCAAGACTCTCTGCTTGTTACTGGCGGTCTCCTCGACCTTAGAACTCAACCAATTCGTAAGTCAGATCCCCTCTTTCTTAGTCAGTTATACTTTTGTTTGTAATAGACAAAGCACTCAATTGGGCTCGGGCCACCTTGTCCACTTTTAAGTACGGTTCTAATCTGTCCTATAGAGGTTGTTCTCCCGAGCGCTTACCTTTCCTTCAATTGATTTGAAGGAACTCACATTCCTTACGGCTATTGTAGCCTTTCCGTATGGTCGCTGAGCGATCGAAAAAATGGCTGCGAAATCGCGATTCACGAGGCTCGATGCTTTCGCCAAGACGGTTGAGGATGCTCGCATTCGCACCACCTCCGGCGGGATCATCACCATAGGCTCGCTACTGGTTATTCTATGGCTTGTGTGGGGAGAATGGGTGGACTACAGGCGGGTGGTGGTGCTCCCTGAGTTGGTAGTCGATAAGTCGAGAGGTAAGAGCTAAACAGACCATGGTGTTGGAGTGGGAGGCTGACCGAGTACTGCGCACTTCGCTGTTTAGGAGAGAAAATGGAGATCCATTTAAACATGACCTTTCCCCGGCTCCCGTGCGAGCTTCTTACTCTCGATGTAATGGATGTGTCTGGTGAGCAACAGACCGGCGTGGCACATGGAATCAACAAGGTACGCCTGAGTTCTCCTGCAGAGGGTGGCCACGTCCTTGATGTCAAGGCCCTGGAACTGTAAGTAAAATTTCTCTATCTCGCCCTTGAGACGAGTCGTTTGGCTTATAAACGTTCTATGCAGTCACTCGGAGCAAGAAGCGGCGAAGCATCTCGACCCTAACTACTGCGGCGACTGCGGCGGAGTCCCACAGCCTAACGGCGAGAAGCGATGCTGTAACACCTGTGAGGAGGTGCGAGAGGCTTATGCACAACAACAATGGGCTTTCGGAAAGGGCGAAAACATTGAACAATGTGAACGTGAGGGCTATGCGCAACGTCTGGACGCCCAACGCCGAGAGGGTTGCCGTCTTGAAGGTGTCCTCCGCGTGAACAAGGTGATCGGAAACTTCCATATCGCACCGGGCCGGAGTTTCACGAGTGGAAATGTCCATGTGCACGACCTTGAGAACTACTCCGAGCGTGACCTTCCCGACGCCGAGAAACACACCATGACCCATATCATCCATCAGCTTCGGTTTGGTCCCCAGTTGCCAGATGAGCTGTCGGAACGCTGGCAGTGGACCGACCATCACCACACCAACCCGCTCGACAACACCCAGCAGGAGACTAACGATCCTGCATATAATTTTATGTACTTTGTCAAGGTCGTTTCCACTTCTTATTTGCCGCTGGGTTGGGATCCATTGTTCTCCTCGGCCGTCCACAGCGCCTACGAGGATACTCCACTGGGTACCCATGGTATTGCATATGGCTCCCAGAGCAGCATCGAAACACACCAGTACTCGGTGACCTCCCACAAGCGGTCTCTGATGGGCGGCGACGCTGGCGACGAGGGTCACAAGGAGCGTTTGCATGCTGCAAGTGGCATCCCTGGTGTTTTCTTCAACTACGATATCTCCCCCATGAAGGTTATTAACAAGGAGGCACGGCCCAAGACTTTCACTGGGTTCTTAACCGGTGTTTGCGCCATTATCGGCGGTACGCTTACTGTCGCGGCTGCCCTGGACCGTGGTCTTTACGAGGGTGCTTTGAGAGTTAAGAAGATTCATTCGAATTAGAAGCGAGTGTCCACAGTGAGGCTCGACCTTCCCGAACCGAGAAGGGGGGAAAAAAAGAAGAAAAAAAACATTTTTTTCTTCGATACATATCTCTATAGAAATTATAAGAGCATGGAAACTTGGAGCAGAGAGCCCAGGAACAGGGGCGGTGGTTTCGAGGGAGGATTTTGACAGTCAAGCGTTTGGGTACATGTGCATATTGTGATATACTTAGCAGCAAGTGTTTGGTGTTTGGCATCTTTGTATCTCAAGTCTTTCGGTGCTCCTCCTATGAATGTTATCAATTCTGGAAGACTACATGGTATCTTTTACGGTTACCCAAGTTATCTCTAGGCCGAGCAAGCCCAACTAGGCCATTTTTCTTCCATATCTACGGAGTAGTTTGTACGAGTTCGATCGAGCTGAACACCTTCCAGATCCTGAAATGGGGCAATAAGTTCCTCGGACTGAGTAAGTCGCTGATCTAAGGCGCCCGTTCGTTCATTATAACTACACGCATAAAGCAATGCTGTCCAGGAGGTCCAGTTCAAAGAGTTGGGTAAGAAGCATAAAAGAACTACGGAAGATATATTCAGCAGAGATCCATCGTCTATCTGCATTGTGCTCGCTCAGCAAAATGTTATACGCCCATATTTGCATGCATATAGATGGCAAGAAGTAGAAAGAAGACGAAAAAGAAAAGAAAAAGAGAGTGAGATCAGAAATAGAAATAGCAAAGATCCTTCCCAACAAGTGAACCTTTCATCGCATGGGGAAAACCGCTAATAATTGATGAGCAATAACCGATTTGTGAACGAAGCATGAACCCAAGCGCCAGACCCATTCTCACAACTCCATTAAATGCACGATGCGACTGCTGTAAAAGATCGAATAAAGGAACACAGCAACTCTTTTCCGAGCAGGAGGGAGATTTGAAAGTCTAGCTCTAGGACGCATCAAAAGGATAGGAAGAAAAACTCGAAGGGGTAACATAAAACAAAAAGAAACCAGCGATGGCTTTCAGGTGTGGTCAAAAAAGTACAAATGAGACGGTGTCAAAATGTTGATCCTAAATGCAAGATGTAGGGTGGAAAGTTAAATGAAAGAAATCAATAATGCATGGCGTTCGCATTGGCAAATTGACCAGATTGCTGGCCGAAGTATTGGCTTTGCTGATACGCCTGAGGTTGCGGGGTTTGAAGTTGCCCATACCAAGATTGGCGTCGGGGTTCCTCGGGTCGGTACGATTGATTGAGGGCATCCCAAGTGTGGCTCGCTGCTGGGATATTGTAAACACTATTCTGGGTACCACTTTGGATGCCATATGTGCTGCCTGGGGCTATCGGATGCTGCTGCCACTGTTGTTGACGCTGGGCAATAGCATGCTGCACCATGTGAGATGACATCCCCTCCATAATGCTCTTCTTCTCACGCTCCCGAGCATCAATAGCACCCACTAATCCCATTGGGTTAACCGGTTGTTGCGGCTTTTGGTTCCCACTGCTGAGATTGAAGAACGATGAACCTGTCATCCGAGCTACATGTTCCTGTTCACGAGCAGAAAGGTGGGACGAGATATCATTATAGTTGATCATGCTATTGGCGCCGCGAGAACGGGGTCGCCCTTGGCTGTCTCTACCAATGCTCATTTGAGAATGTGATCGGTTGTGAGCCATCCAATCACCGGATACCGGCCGTGCCGGTGGGGTTGTTGCGGTCGTAGTAGAAGAAGTCCGGTGATGTACATGGAGTGGTGGGCTGGGGGCTGCACGCTGCTGCACGAACTGCTCTGGTGTGAGACCAGGCGTGACGGGGCGCGCGGCGGCCATACCAGGCTGCCACAAGACACTTCGTCGATACTCATCCTGGCTTGGTGATCGTGAGTGGCCACGGTCCATCTGAGAGTATCTTTGTCTCTCGGTAGATTCCGAGTCACTCCTCTGGTGACCGAGCTTCTTTAATGTATCAGAAGTAGTCGGACGCCCAGTCGTTGGCATGAGCGTCATCGTTGGACCGAAATCAACACTGGGGATATCAGGGTTATGTTTCTGCGATACCTGGTCGACGGAATAGTGAGCATCACCAATAACCAAATCCTTCCTCGGCTCCGTTCCAACGGTCTTCATTACGCCCATCCTCGGTCTGGGGATCGACTTAGTAGAACGTTTGCTGTAGACGGATCCACGTGTACTGGCGTAGTCTGGGGAGGTCGTGGATTCATCGTCATAAACGCTTTCGTCCTCCTGGTGACGCTCCTTAACAGGCGAAGGGAAAGACGGTTGGTAAGAGCTGACACGGTTCAGGGCCTCTTCGTCAACAGTATGGCGCAGATCATCAAAGCTAGGTTCAATGGGGCTTGATACGGTAGAGTCCTTGCATTGCTGGCCAGGAACTGGCTTTCTCCGGACGGATTTTGTTGTATCAATGTGAAGATTGCTCTCATCTAACCTCTCTAGAGGAGGACCGAATACACTGGTCCTATGCTCTGGCGTTGGCGGGCCCTGTTCCTGTGGGCTAGCTCTCTTGTCACTCGATTCCGATAATAGGGAAGGGACACTTGGCATCTCAAACCCAGCGTTATAAGAATCGGTAGGAGTCGGAGTTTGAGGCTTTTGATTGTCAGTTTCTCTGATCTCCTGGCCGTCAAAAGACATGGCGCCGAGCAGATTCATCCGTCCTGAAGCGGCAGCAAGCTGCGCAAGGGTCGCGTTAGACATTCTGTTATTAGCCTTCCTCAGATCTGGCGACGGGTGCGGCCGTGCTGAGGGCATTTCGCCTGGTCCGTGGGTGAAAGCCGGAGGATTGGAGACAGGTGAGGGAGGAGAAGGCTCCTGGAAATGTTCTCGAATAGCTTCGGCTTCAGGAACAGTGTGAGAATCTACACGTTGTCTCCAGTCACTATCAGAGCTGCTCTGATCGTTGAACTCGTTGGTACTAGGACGCTCGTTCCCAGCCTGTATTAAGTCACGCGCCGAAGAAGACGGAGAGCTCTCGACTATAGAAGCCCGCGCCTGCTTTCTAATAGCCGACAGCCCAGCTGTATCTGAAGCACCCCGTGCATGATAGCTTGGCGAGAAATCTGCACCATCAGGCTCCTCTTGAACTATCGCATCGGTGGACTGATTGTAGCCAAGTTCGCTCTCTGGGAAGGTCTCGTTTCGGCGAAGTCCAGCGTGAACATTGCTGTGGCGACTTGGAAGACTTGCTCGAAAACGTGGTTTGCTGGATATGCTGCTTGTTCTGCTACCAGCAGCTGCCATGCGACGTGCGGTCGCCTCCTTTAGCTGCTTCCTCCATTCTGCCTCACTCCAATTCTGGCTACCCGCCGTTTGCATCAAATTAGTGATGTCCAAGATGTCCAGATAGCCATAACGCCGTTGTTTCGGGAACGCGAACATAATGCTCTTAATGTGATTCGTAGCGGCAATTAGACGGGTAGGGCGTCCATAAAGGTTGAAAGTGTCGAAAGTGGGCATCAGGAACCGTATCATCGTTTCGAAACCAGGCACGGCTGGATGTGACTCTGGCATAACGAAAACAAACCCTTCCGAACTTGACTGTTGCTGAGAATGAATTGTGACATTTCCCTCGATCTTTACCAGGGTGGATTGGTCAATCAGCGCCTCGGACTGAGGATATATAGCGTAAGCACTGTAGGCATCGGTGATTGTTGCAATTGGCTTCGCTTTCTTTGTTTTCTTCGTCTCATAGAACATAATATTTCCTGTGACCAGTTTAGGTGCCCGGTCATAGGCTGACTTTTTCTTGAGGGACTTCTGCGCTTTTTGGAATTCTTTTTCATTTGGAGGGGTGATAACAAACCAGCACCGCCTCCAAGGCGTCCCCGCCCCGAATCTCACACGAGCCCAATCCTCATGCTTGAAGCGATTTCGTTCGAGAATGGTGCGGATACCGTTGAGACCCTTCCCTTTTCCTGCAATGATTGCGCCAGTGTATGCCTCGTACAGTGACGTATGTTCAAACAAGGATAAGCGGATGGCTGAAGTCCATTGTACCAGAGAATGGAAGGAGTTAAAGTGCAGGAGGTATCGATTTTGACCCGCTGAGCAGATACTTAGAACGTTCTTCACTGTCGGCGTCTCTGAGTTCCGTGTAGGTAGCGTCTCGATCTACGGTGCCGCAAAATCAGTAAAGGGGAAATCCCAAGGGTTATGTTCTGGAGATATTGCAGACTCACCACTTTGATGGACGCATCCGCCAGGTTAATAAAAGTGGGAGGGCCTTCTTTTTCACCCGCTGCGTCCAGCGCAGCGGCATCCCATAGCGAAAGAGCTGTCCCAATAAGTTGTGCATAGCATTCTACCCACTGTCGATCAGAACATGGTCGGCCATCTGCGCATAATTAATTAGCCGCGATTCTAATCCACCGATATTTCCCGGAAACTCACGGTTATCCAAATCATTCAATTTCAGAAAATAACCTTCATGGTACAGCTTGTTCGCATGACTGTTGAGGAAAGTGAAGATTGGCTGGAGCTCTGGAGGGGTATCTTGGGAGATTTCTATGAATGGAGGATCATGTGAGAAGATCGTTGACGCAGGCCGCGATATCCGGCGGTCGTTCGACGACAGTCCTGTTGGTGAAGCATCTTGAGGGGAGGGTGTATCTGTATCCACTCTTGACGGAGGTGTGTTCCCTGCGACTGAAGCTGAGAATGCCCGATGACGTTGTTCAGGACGATCTTTGCGGGACGAGCCACCGAATGCCGATATGAACGATAGTACTGATAACGCAAGGGGCGTTAACCGTTGCCGTTCGCATTCCTGAAAAGGAGGGACTAGGGACTATTAACTCACCACGCGAGCGAACCATATTGTTGAAATGTAATGTATGAATAGAAGCGCAAGTAGAAAGACTACTACCTTCCACGTCGTCCTGATATCAAATTTGGCGCACGATAAACAGGTAACGTGGCTGGACGACGACACTGAGCCGAGTCGTCTTTAGATCAGGTGGACAGAACAAAAGGAAAAGGGACTAGTATGGACAACGACGTTGT